ATACTACCAGTTGCCTATAGCTCTTTCCCTGGGGTTGATGTTTGCGAGCAAGGATTCCTCGGATGCATTCCAACTGTGTAGCAATATGCAGGGCCTCTTTAGGAACTCACGATCCAATTCGCGGTCAGTAGTACCCGCCAGGATCTGCAAGAAAACTGTTATCCCGGGCCGCGGCACCATCGTTTAGGAAGCGATGGTCGCGAGCCAACGAAGAGCAGCGGCCGCCCGCTCATTGTTTCTGCTGATGGAATTGCCGAATGGTCCCTTGCTGTTGCGACGATAGCTCCAGTAAGATACGAAGCAGTGCACAAGTGTTTTCATCAACGCTATCTGCGACGATGGCAGCCGAGTCCACCAACAGGTACGCGTCAGTACCCAAGTGGCCTAAACGTGTGATAGTTTTGTCCTCTTCTGAGCATCGGCATAAGCAAAACCGAGTGTTGCATTCCCAGCGATCGCAATCATCGTTGAGATGATATTTTGCAGGTGGTGCGGGTTTCCTTAGTGCTCCTACACTAAGCTGCCCATTGTGGATTACATAGTTCAGGAGGTAAGGAATAGCAGTGATTTTTGGACCAAAAGTAGACGGCTGATCTTCGTGGTACTCTAAACTATCCTCCGAATTGTTCCCGCCGGCGGCAGGAGAATAATGCTCAGGCATGACCATATCAATGCTAAAATGGGAGACCGAAACTGTAAACAATACCCCAGTTAGGAAAAAGCTGGCAAGGAAGCCAAGTGTGTAGTATGTGTCTGGTCTAAAAAGCCGAGGTCTTATGTGTCCATTGTGCACGTAGGTCTGAATAGACCCGGGGAACTGCAATAGAAAGTAGATACCTAGTAAGTGGCTGGAAGCTCATATCAAAACCACCTAGTAGGATACCACACTAAAACAGACTTGAAGGTAAAGAGGAGATGACGAATCAATGGCCGCCTACCCGAGGTACAACGATTTCCTTACCTTAGGGATCACCGCCAGGTTATGCTCGGATCTGTTAGGCCAGAGATAAAGTCGTTTTAGCACCATTATCCACTAAGGTAGTTATACAGAAACCATTTGTGGAAGCTCTAGTAAACATTGTTTGTGCTTTGGTTTCCCAACATGCAAATTGCTTGAATAAAGCACGGAGAAATTTAAATGGTGAGTTTTTGTATTCATTAAATACGATAGCCTATTTGTGATTCCACATTTCCTGATTCTATAGATGAGATGGTTTTCACGGCTTGATCGACATTTATTCAATTGAGTAACCATTTAAGTGATTAACAAGGTACTTGGAAACCACAAAGGAGAAAGCTATGCAGCTTTTTTATATGTTCATCAGCTTACAGAAAGCTGTAATAATGGCATCAACATCCATCCATTTCACAGTCACAAGGAACGGTTTCCGGAAAAGCTGGGCGACGAGCAAGGAACAAGTCGGACGATTTCAACAGGATATTGTAATAACGGATGAGAGATACTAGTAAGATGCAACTCTCACATGATTGCAAATCAGTGATGGGATCTGCAACGAGACTGTATTTTCTATGAATTCTAATGGAAACTTCACATGTATTTGTTGACAGTGCTAGCTTCTTTCAGGTTAACTGGTTCACTTTTGTTATTAATCTACAATGCATCTTTTACTTTGTGCATACAATTCAGAAAGTATCTTGTATTGACCTGGTTACATATAAATTTTTATGATGATGCAACTATTGCTATTTCAAATGCTTGTCATCTCGAGTGCAGTCACATTGTTTCCGTCCACCTACGAAACTTAGGATCGTTGGGCAAGAATGTAATGCACATTCGTTTGCTTACACTGACTCGATTCGTGTTATTGATATCTGTCTACTACTCTTAACTATTCGAACTTAAGCTTCGAGGTTTAAACACTTCTCGCCACTACGCAGTTTTCATACGTTTGCTTTGAAAATTCCGTGTACAACCTTAGTTTATTTTGTCTATACAACGTTGGTTGTGGTCTCGCTTTTGAGACAACGCTGACGGGCACTCAAAGTACCCAAGAGCACTTCTGATGCTAACTGTATAAGGCCTCTACTGCGCAATTTGTTTCTACTATAATGGTCTGCTTGCTCAATTGTGATCTATTGTAACAACCCGCGACTTGCTTGCTACAGATCGCGCGCGACCGCTTACTTGGTAACTGCATCTATAATCCTGCGTCACTTTCTGTCTACCTTAGTCCGTAAGGCAGTAGCTGGATTTGACATGCTGTCTCGCTGTTTGTTATCTTGCCAGGACCGAACTTGGCGACTTGTCTCAGCACTCTCCGGAGTTTGAAGCGCCACGACGACTGCACGGTGCGCACACCAACACGACCTGCGTCGCTGCCCTGAACAATGCCTCCTACATGCACCACACTGATTTGTCGAGGGACAGAAGAGAGGTATCACAATGCAGCATAATTCTGCAGTCGTTAACGGCTGATCCTTAAGCAACAGTGCAGATTCAGTTTCATCGAGAATCTGATGGCTTCATTTTTGATGATACAATGAGAAGACGAGCATTGTAAGAGGACACCAGTTCATGTTGTCTGCTTACTTGCAAAATAGCAACGTACATAAAGCGAGTGAAAGAAGTAAAGGATCGTTTTGAATCGGTTATAAAAGAAAACACACCCCTGCTTGCTAGTTTTTTGATACTCGGACGGCTAGTATTTCCGACCACTCATTTGACCAAAGATCTTGGAAAAGAAGACCAGCGAAACGTCTTTCATTGACCAGACAGATAACCTGGTGGTAGCGACTTCCAGGAAACGCCGAAAATAAATGAGCAGCTCAGTTACCTAATCTGATACATGAGATTGCCGAAAATGCCAGTAAGATAGAAAACAAGGTAGTAATTTCAAAGCAAAAACTCAAGGTCATGCGTCAGGGGATTGCGATGTCGACATCAGCATCTTAATAGTCCGTGTACCGAATAGCCCCAGTGTCGATCATTTGCAAGGAGTTGCATCATTTGGTTCGTCGCTTACCACTTTATTTCGTGAAATAATTAAACAGTCTCGAGACGTTGTTATTTTTAGTATTCCTGATAAGCTTCCCTTGAAATTCGTAAAGTACCTTTTACTCAGCACATGGGGTTTGAATAGAACCGGCTGTCATTCTGTGCTACTTAGGAAAATATTTCAATTGCGCATGCCCCATTATTCTCCAATTTAGGGATCAGCGTTAGGTCCGACTGTTCTACAAGTATCTAGTTGCTGACATCACTGAGTTCCACCGTGTTGTCATCAAACTTGATCAAACGCCACTTCATAGAAAATACAGACTAAGCTGTTCCAAGTTCATAATGCCACTAGTCTCTCGAATCCTGTTAGCCATTCTTCTTGTGCGGAATCTACCAACTACGTTAATGTTTATTTAAACCCATCGCAAAGCCAGAATATTTCGGATTCTTCAATTTCTAAATCTCCGAATACACCAACTGTTGGTTTCTCCATAAAGCAGCGCTGTAATACATTAGGCCACAAGTTTGGTTTAGCAGGGACAGTCGACCTTGCCCTTATGTCAGATAAGGTCACCAATTCCCCTTCCAATTACGGTCCGACGTTTGCAGATAAGGATGAAACTGTTAGCTGCATACTGGCTGTATACAACGCGCCCTCCTCTAAACGCAAGCGAACAGCTAAGGCAGAACAAATTCAATCTCCTATTCAAGAATCCACGAAAATGAGCCAATAGAAACGAATCGTAGATTGCAGCAGCAACTCCGTTAACCGGTAGCAAAACCTTGTGGGGAATTCCTTACAAATAAATATTTACGCTAGAATCATTAGAACTTTCAATCATGGTGATATAGTCCACACTTGTACTAACTCACATCAACCTCGGGCTCTAGGTTACGCTTAAAAGAAAATAAAAGAGCATGAACAGTAAGCCGAACCGACGCTTCACTGCCATGCAACCACCACCAGTAGTGCGTTGCCTAGGTATACTGCGAGGGTCACCTGGTCCCGCACGCATGCTACAAGGCAGATACCTAGCCCTTTTGACCAGTAGCCTGCCTCGAAACTTGGGATACGCACTAACTCATACTTCCGAAATTGTTAACGAATGTCTCTCCTATCAGTACCTTTATCTATAGCTTCGTATTATGCCGTTAACGAGCAAAGTAAACGGAAATATGTGCTGTTTTTCCGCCAGCCACACAGCTTAGAATACGTGCTTATTTCCCAGATGTGTGCTCCTATAGAGTCACTTTCAGCAGCTCGCTACAGAATCCAAATATATGGTGGGCAGAGGACAAAAATGAGCCTCAGGTGAAGTGGTTGACCTAACAATTGCCCTTCAATTCTACGAACCTTCAGCTGGTTTCAAGCTTAGGTGGCATCACTTACGAGTGTGATACATCCATTGAATAAATCTGGAGCATGGTATACGCTTAAAATGACCGTATTTACCGTACATTATTCTGTTAACGTTTATAGACATTCAAGTGTTAAGTCCACAAACATTTATGAACATCACCAGGCTAGTATTGTTCATTATTAGGTTCCTTTGTGTACACTTTTCCGGCGGTTTATATCCAAACACAAATGTTACTGGGAACACTACGCCTCACACTGCATCACCGCCAGATATCGAATTTTGGAAATCCCAAGACTCAACTTTACGCATAACCAACTAAAGCACTACTCAAATACTAGTCTTCCTCACAGCGCGGTTCAGTCCTGTTATGATGAATCCCTCAAAGTAACGCTTATTACGGCTCATAAACTGATTCATAAAATGCGTGTTCACCGTTCTTTCGTCATTGTTCATAGGCTTCATATCCTGCTTATTACTTAAGCATGGTGTATAAATTAGACTGCTGGACATCTAACTGACCTATAAGGTTATAATTCATTCAGCCCAGATCGCCGTCATGACAGAGGAGGTGGCTGCTTGGCTCAGTGCATACACCATTTAAAAGCTTCACGGTGTAATGATGAGTCGCTATTATCCGTCGATGAGGCTGTTAGGATAGCAGTAGTCCTAATTAATAGCAGACGGTTAGTTAGATACCATGAGATAACCATATCTCATGGAATTCCGAACCGACTTCTGAATTGCTTACTCAGCATTAGGCAATTGGAAGCGATTTCAATTTGCGAAACATTTCATGCACTGACCACGAGGTCTCCGGGAAACAAGCTGTGTTTCTAGTTTACATGCAAGATGGAGGATGGACTCAACATGAAACATCAACACAGGAGGGGATATTACTAAAGATTTCACATTCCCTTGTGACCCCATTGTTGCGAGTATCAACATACTTGACTGACCTTACGACAGTGATCATAATGTTGTTAGTTGCAAACTAATGCTTGAAAGCACATACGATGCATCAAGGAAAACCTAAGCAATTTTAGCAGAATAAACTGAGTGAGTTTTCCAACTCAATAAGTTGTACTGATTAGGGGAATATTTTTTTTATTTCCGTACCCAAAAGTGAACGTGAGCCACTGTAGTGAAACGCTGTCATCTGATCTAATCTGTCCTATCTTACCAAAATTGTCAAGCACGCAAAAAATCACTCTCCAAATGCGTTGAAAAAAAAAAAATTCTTAGTACTGTTATTCCGATTGCATTAGCTGATAATTAGGAGTGTAAACCTTAGAGTCCTTGGCTTCCATGAAGAAGAGACAGATTTGTTAACTAATGCGCTAGATAACA